GCGAGACACAGAAAGCGCGCGCGCGCGTGTGTGTGTGCGTGCGTGTGTGCGTGCGTGTGAGAGAGAGAGAGAGAGACGGTCACTTCTGCGGATGGTGGGTCAAGCGTGCTGTATATTCAACTCGTTCAAGTGCGCTGCGTGTTAAAGTGCGTACATGCGTGTAAGCCGCGTGCGTGCGTGCGTGCATACGCGACTAATGTACGAACATGTGTGTGTGTGGTGGGTGGGGGGGGTGCATGTGTGCGCGTGTGTAAGCGTACGTGCGTGCGTACGTGCGTGCTGGAGATAGCCGGTGAGCTACAGCAGCAACCGCATCCCGTAAAGCTGGGTTTACACTGCCGACTTCATATTGTCTCAATTGGCAAGCAAGTTGGAACAATTTCGCAATTCAGCAACACAGAGTTGGCGAAAATAGAACATGTTCTAATCTCCCAACAAGTTGCTATCGACTAGTTGATCGCGCCACTTTTGCGTTTACACTCCCAATTATCGGTTGTAAAGTTGCGAAATTGCTCCAATTCGCCAATTTGACAACGTAAAGTCGGTAGTGTAAACCCAGCTTAAGACGCCCAGGTTCGGCTCGCAGCCTCGCACGCTGGCAGTGATGATCACCTATATGTGCCGTGGGCGTTCGCGCTATATGATTCACATGATTTCACATTTCGGCAGCTAGCCCACCCCGCCCACCGCTACCCATCGCGCGCGCACCACATAATTATTCTGTATGTTTCGCCTGCCACTGTTTTCACGCATGCCAGTGGTTGTTTTGTCAGGCAGGGCGCCCGAATGAAACGCAGATGCGAACAACGAACTCGCGCTGAGTAGCGGCTTGTGCTTCCCGTTCACGAAGCCCTGCACACATCCCAGAGGAAGAGGCTGCGAGAAGCCCTCCACACATCTCCGCATCCTCGCATCTATGCATCTCCACATCCCTGCATCTCCGCATCTATGCATCTCCACATCTATGCATCTCCACATCTATGCATCTCCGCATCTATGCATCTATGCATCTCCACATTTCCACATCCCTGCATCTCCGCATCTCCACATCTATGCATCTATGCATCTCCACATCTCCGCATCTCCGCATCCCTGCATCTCTACATCCCTGCATCTCCATATATCCTCATCTCCGCATCTCCACATCTCCACATCTATGCATCTCCACATCTCCACATCTATGCATCTCCGCATCCCTGCATCTCCACATCCCCGCATCTCCACATCCCTGCATCTCCACATCCCTGCATCTATGCATCTCCACATCTATGCATCTCCGCATCCCTGCATCTCCACATCCCCGCATCTCCACATCCCTGCATCTCCACATCCCTGCATCTATGCATCTCCGCATCTCCACATCTCCGCATCCCTGCATCCCTGCATCTCCACATCTCCGCATCTCCGCATCTTCACATCTCCGCATCCCTGCATCCCCGCATCCCGGCATCCCTGCCTCGCACGATGCCGAGCGTCATTCGGATAGTTATTTGCGCGCTACAGCAGCATCAGCAGCATCAGCATCATCATTAGCAGCAGCAGTAGCATCATCAGCATCATCAGCATCATCATCATCATCATCAGCAGCAGCAGCAGCAGCAGCAGCGGCGCGACAGAGGGGCACAGGGCGGGACCCTTGCAAAAACACAGCCGCCTGCACGCGGCGCGGGAAGAATTGAGGCCAGGAGCGATTCGCCTCCTCCTCTGCTGCTGTACCACGCTCGCGCGGGAGGATGAGGATGCTGAGGATGCTGAGGATGCGGCGGAAACGACGATCGATGGAACGTCGAGGGAGGATTAGCGTCCGGCGCGCATCTATCTGTGCCAGTGTTAACTCTGCATGAACTTTCTTTTTCCTATACAACTTCCTCGAGCATCCTTCACATCCGCGTAGATGCTGGCGGAGTATATACTGCAATCAGAGAAGTTTCGCTTCTTTTTTTCAAAACCGGGTCTCCATGCAGTTAATGCATCGGATGCAAATGTCACCCCACTTCACACTGACGTACGTACACGTACGCACGCGCACGCACGCACGCACGCACGCACGCACGCACGCACGCACGCACACACACACACACACACATACACACATACACAGCAGCAGCAACAGCATCGTCAGCATCACATAGTGCGGTCCAGCCGAAAACCGCCGCCGAACACGTGTGAATCACAAATATCAGTTGTCACCGCAGCAAGCAACGGCAGACGGCCGATCACAGATGATGTAGAAGTGAGG